AGGACAAATCGTGCAAAAAAAAAAATCCATAAAATAACAAAAGAAAAAGGGGAAAATAATCCCTAGTTTAACTCCAAAAAGAAAAAAGTAGGAGAAAAAGAAATCACATGACAGTAGTGTGTACAATGCGTGGCATCACATGCTAATAAGGCCCACGTGCTTATGATATACTTTTTTTTCTTTTAAGTATATATAATTAAAAATAAAGTTATTTAGAGTGAAAACTATTTGATACACACGTATGTCACATACAACGACAACTTTCACTATAAATAATATTACTTTATAATTATAGGAAAACAAATAATCACTGTAGAGTAATCCTCTTACATTGCAAAAATTTTATAGCCTTCCTTGGTATATTTGTTTTTGACACCAGCTGGTTGTTTAATGGGAATGGGAATGGGAATAGGATGCTGCTGCATCAAGATTTTCAAGAGGCGAGCAAGGGCGTAGTGGGAGAAAAGAGGGTGGGGATTTTGTTGATCTCAAAAGATGTTGCCAATAGATGTTAGGTCCATTCGTGTACACGTAAGTTAAATCCAACACGTTAGTGTCGATCGACGGTCAGAATATCTTCAGAATCTGAACGTGGGAGGAACTCAACGACACGAGACGTCTCCGTTCAGGCCTCCGGCTATATAACTAGAACACGATTGTATAAGAAAACCAATCGATAAAGAACAAGATTTGTAGTTGAAATATGCGAATAAACGAGAGAATAATATAGCTCCTAATAGTTAGAATTTCATTCCAAATTTTTATTAGTCTTCTTGTATTACATGTTGGGAGTATTTATAGTGTTACAAATCAAATGATGGCCTTTGGATCAAGTTACACGTGATCTCATCTCCTCGGCCAAGATATCAAATCCTAACTATCAAATTGACTCTCCTAGCCTTACAAAGTATTAAACATTCTTACATTGACAAGACAAGACACAAATGTACTTTACACAAAAGTCGTCAATCATTGAAATAGAGATCTCCATTATTGCTATATCTTTCCACGTGGAT